TGATCTGGGATATCCGTTACTAAGGCAAATCCGTGTCAGTTCGTCAACTTCTCTTCCCAGAATTCATTGTACGTTAGTCGTAAACTTTTGATGATTAAACTCCTCAATATTCCAATCTTCAGTCTGTAGTTATGATGAGACTGAAAATTAAGGATTATTCCCGCATACGAATTGTTTCTGTATAGTCTTCTCATGAGTGTCTCCTTGGAGTGTATGACTTCAATATCCAGAAAGGGTAGTCGTTCATCCTCCTCCACCTCCATTGTGAATTTAATTCTTTCATCAAGTTGGTTATTAAAATTGAGGAATTCCCTTAGATTTTACTTACCATGTGACTAAAGTGCAAAATAGTCATCCAAATATCGCATGAGCGCTCTTGGTTGCAGTGATGACTCTCGAATTTCCTTTCCAACTAGTCCATGTACACATTTGCCAAAAGAGGTGAGAGTGGAGATCCCATCGGCAGTCCAAATATTTGCTCTTAGATACTGCCTTTAAATGTAAAATATGTGGTCCTTACTGTCAGGTTGATCAATCGTGTTAACGATTCTTTCCGTATCCGTTCTGCATCCAGAATATCCTCTTCTCGTCCCAAAATCTCCACCAAGGCGCTTACCGCCTCCTCGCCTGAGATGTTTGTCTACATGGATTGTACATAGAAATTCACCAACAGTTCCGTCCCCAGAAACCCAATGTTCTGGATCCTTTGAGAAAATTCATATGAATTCTTTACGGTATTCGCGAGTCTGGCATTTACTTTCTTGAGCTTCAAGCAAATGAATTTCGCTAATTTTTGTATTGCTCCATGCTTGTTGTTGACTATTACTCTTAGCGTATTTTCTTCCTTGTGCATCTTCGGTAGTCCGTAGGCTGTCAGTGGCCTTGAGTCATTTTTGATTAAAGATTTCATCCTCCATTTGTAAATTTCCCCATTATTATGCATTTCGTTGAGCATATTCTTAACTGTCCCGTTGATCTTCGTGGTTGGATCCTTCCTTAATATTTGATAAGTTTTCCAGTCGCCAAGGAGACTTCACATTTTCTCCGTGTATTCTTTCTGGTCCATTACAACCATCGCCACCCTCTTATCCGCCTAAAGAACTGTTTGATCATTCTTTTGTATTTTTTTCCGAATACCAGCCAATCTGCTCCTGTGAATCGGCTCTTGATGTGTCAGGATCCGTAGGATTATTTCCAGTTCCATCTCCCGCCTTGTATCTTCTGGATATTTATCCGCTATGTTAACAACATACACCAGAACATCACTAAGAACGTTTCCTTCATTAACTGGTGAAAAATGTAACCCCTTTTCTAAAAGATCCGTAGTTTCAGAATCAAGAGGGATTAAAGATAGGTTTACTACCTTTGTCATATAGTCGTCTATAGCAGTTGATGCCTTCAATAAAGAACCATCAAAATTTGCCCTGGTTGGCTTGGTCTTGCGCTGTCTTATTATCCCATAGTTAAACAATTTCTTGTCATGCCTCTTATTTATCAGATCCCGAACCCTCTGTGACTTCTGGTATGTCATGCTCTGGAGTTTTTAAAAATCATCCAAAGTGAGAACCCCACCTAGATCCTTCCTTAATCTAGACTTACGCCTCTCAGACTCGTAATTTCCCTCTAATTTCTGTATGGAGGCGTGATAAAGTATTTCATTAACTGTGTCCGAATGACACTTCCCCATTAGATTACAGAATCGGGGGAGGATAAATAATGTTAACAATAATTTAAAAAGGTCAAGTGGCAGGATTGACTTACAATTGTCTTCTTTGTTCGGCTTTAATAAGTGATTTGTTTGGCAATCTTACTTCCATAGTTTAATCGAAATTATAAAGACCAAGATGGTGTGGCCTTTTGTGTGGTCGCAGTCTCCTTTCGTTGTATAGAAGTTGTTTGA